GTTAGGTTAGAAAATGTCTGCCTTCCTTGTTTAACTCATCCCTTTTCCCCCCTCTGCCTCCTGACAGTTTCCAGTCTATAGCTCCATAGTAAGAACTCTTCACCATTCCCCTCTCAGTTTTTAGTACTTAACCGAACTTCAGCACCTACTAAGGTAATGGCTCTTCATTTAGCCAACAGACATTACCCAAAACCACATATGCACAAAGCTAATCAGCACACAGCACATGCACCACGTTGTGTGATGTGATCAACACTGAGCATCATAAGCAAAAGCAACTAAAATGGAGTTTGAGAAGTTCCCAATGAAAGCAATGCAGTCATGCTCAGCAGAGAGTTCTGGGCACCTACTGCACCCAGAGGACACCTCAAGGAAGTGGACACCGGCCTGGGACTCCCTTCTCTTCCTACCTGACTGGTGGGGAGAAGTGTCTCCTTTCTCTGCCCCTTCAGGTAGCTTTGTGGTTGATGAATGCCATCAGCTCTGCTGATAAAGCTTTGTGCAGTTAAGGCTAGCTGACCTGCCCTTGCACAAACAAGGGTCATATCCTCGAATCTAGGCTTGACTGCCATGTTGCTGACAAGTTGAACATGTGCACTTGAGAAAATAAAGCTCTTGCCAAGCCTGCAGATTTGGGGCCTTTTTTATATGAAAGATTTTCTTCATGCATTTCATTTACACAGCAAACTTTACAGGTTGCAAGAGGCTGCGCATCTTCTCCCTAAGTTAGAAATCCTTAGATACGCAACAGGAAGTTCAGCTTCAGACCTTGAACTGTGACTCGCAACAGTACACAAAACGTGTTATTTCAAGCAAAGAGATGTTTCGGTCCACTTAAATTAAAACAGCACAAAATTGCCCAAAGCCTCTCGGCTGATGGTCTGTTAAATAATGCACACTTCAATTCAGTGAGTTTTATGTGGATTCAGAACTCCACGGACAAGAATAATTTTCTCACTTGTCCTGAAGGGACAAAGGCCAAATGTCTCCCTCGCCCTTTCTGTGACCACTGAGCACAACACTGAACAAACATCTCCCAGTTTACAGCCCCAGTTCTCCTATGGACACAGTCTACAGCTTCAGGGAAGCCACCTAAACAGTGATGAGCTGCGGTTAAAAAGAAGCTAGAGGCTAGTCAGTGAGAGCTGTGGGTAACCCTGAGCTCACCCTCCAATACTACAGCTTTCTCTTTATGGTTTCTCCTTCAGCTCTCAGAGAGACCACTCAAGGAACTGGAAGTTTAACTTTTTAACCCTCCTTTCACAGAGCCTGAAGGTTCCCCCATTGCTGTGTGTTTGTCCAGTTTGTCACACTGGTTATCCTCACATGTATACTGGCAACTGCAACCTACTACCAGCTTATGTACTGGTAGTAGGTTCATACAGATAATTTTCAGACTCTCTCATTATTATTGCCAATACATCTCAGGGCAGGAATGGATTTCAAAAGCTGTATTTCCTCATGCTTGCAAATGTTTCAAGTATTTTAACAATGCCAGATGGAGACTTGGAGATTCATTGTTAATGCCAGGAAAGTGAACAGAGCTTCTCTACATCGGTAATTAGAGATATTAACCTGTCAGAGAGCACATTAATGCCTACAGTTCTTCTGCTCTGGAGCTGCACCTGGCCTGAAAGCAATGACAAAGGACTAATAAGTATTTTTGATTTTTTCCAGTCTGATGAAGAACTGAGTGAGTTTTAGAGGGCAGAAGAGCTATTCTTTCTCAAACAGTGCTCTCTTGGCCACACTGGTTCTAAGCAACAACAGCAGAAAGACTAGTCCAGAATCAGTAGGTTTTTGGCACCAAATGACACTAAGCAAATCAAGCTACGAAGACAGCTTTTGTTTAAAATTTACTGTGTTAACAACAAGTACTAACAAAGAGACCATGGTATTTAAATACAGTCTCAAGGGACCTGATACAGGAATTCACAATATTCCAGCAGAAAATTACATATTTTTGAACAAAGAATTGCTAAATAGATTGAAACACTGTCATTAGAGGCAAAGCAAAAATCACATCATCACTGACTGCACTTTTCAAGCATGGTTACACTCACAAAACTTTAAGGGATATTCTGCTGGAGGCAATCCTGATCTGGCAGTGACTCGAGGTTTGGCACTGTCATACTCCAAAGGTTTTGCAGCAGATCAATGCCTCAGCAGTACCTGCTCCTGCTCCCCTGGCCACTGCTGCTCCTATGCCAAGGTACGTACCATCAGCATGCACACGTTTTGTAACCAGATCTCCTCTCTCCATTTCTACAGGCTGTGAGTATGCAGAGCTTGTCCACAAATGCTGCTCCCCAAAATGCTGGTTTGCAGCAGGGGCCATGCCAACTTGCGGCAACCCTTTGAAGTGACAGTGGTTTTAACTTGAAAGGGGGAAGAGATTGCTCTTCAGAAGGTGCTTTGATTTTGAAAAACAAACTTATTGAAGCTTAAAACAAAGCAAAGCCAGAATCTCGATATCATGAAAAATTTACCAAAGAAGAGCAAATCACTGAACTGCTCTATTACCCAAGTGAATAGGAATGGACAGGAGCCAGCACCACTCCAGCTGAAGGACACAGAACATTACAGGCAGCTGGTTACAGGCAGAAGTCAGCATCTCCCTCCGTTTCATCAGATGAACCTACACCTGACCACACACTACCATTTGCAGTGGTAACACCTCACCCACTGTAATTCCTAGTTTTGCACTGCTCAGGTCAGCCCTCGCACCCTCCCTCACAGCAGCGCACTCAAAGCAGGGAAGGTTCTCCATCACCTGTGGAAAGCAGCAAAAGAAACTGGGCAGAGAAAGCAGCAAGAAATGTGAAAGGCAACTAGGGCACTGTGGATATACTGCTCCCTACAAGCATTAGTGGCAATACAGCCTAGACTACAGGGCTAGCCTCGAACATCCCAGCAAATCAGATTATTTATGGCAGACAGTTTCAGGTTCATACTGAGGACAGTAGAATTGCCTATTTTCTGCAATAACTTCCTCAGAAAGTCTCTCCTTGCTCCCCTCCTATAACACTGGAGGTGATATTACCAACACTGCCTCAATTAAAACCATATTGTGGCCATTGTTTTACAAATCTTTACCAAAATTTAATCAACTTGGTGGTACCATTCCATGCCAGCTATTTCTCCATATCATTTGACAGGGCAACTGTTTCAAAGAACAAAACCAGTGGAAGGAGGGGGGAAAGTTTTGTCCATGTCAAGGTCTGAAGACCTCCAAAGGTCAACCTCCCTGGCTCTTCAAAGCTGCAAGCCTGACATCTGACCATGGGTCTTGGAATCAAGGATGTTTCTCCTCACCCCAGTTTCCATACTCCAGCATGCACAAGCTACGGGTGGTATTTATGAGCTCTTTGTGAGAAGGAGAAATAAGCATTATCTGTGTACCACAGGGCTGGTACAACTCTGCAACAGATATGCCAACACAAATGCAGTCTTAAGTGGTACTGTTCCAGTTCTGCACAAGAGCAGATCTTCTCTATAAAGGCAGTATGTCAAATGGATGTCCAACCACTGGCACCAGAAAGTCAGTATCCCCATTACCTTCACTAGTTTTCCTGCTGGGTCCACTAATTATATAAAAAGCTAGAGAGAGAATCACTATTTTATATTACAATTACCTGCATGACAAAGGCCACCACATTTCCCCAAATTCCCATTTGGCCTCAGCTCTACAAAATCAAATCATTGTTAAACATTTTCCAGAGGTCAAGAATTCAAAGCAGTACTTGGTAAATCAGGTCAGTGAGTCTTAAAAGCACACACCTTATTTTCTGGATGCAATTCATTTAACTAGAATCCAAGGATGCCAAAACAGTGTTTATACTGTAAGATGACATAATTTTTTTTACTTCTCCTCATTATTCATGACACAATCCCAAAGGAAATTTACAACAGGCTTTTAAAAGTAGCATTAATAATCTTAGGGGCTGTATTAAGACCCTAATTAAGATAGTGTATGAATATTTCTTCCTTACACGAGATGACAGATTTAAGCTACGTAGTCACAAGACTCCCTAAGGAATTTATTTTCTTAACACCAGTTTGGGAAGGATGGTCCTCATTCCTGCTTTCATACAGGGTGTTGGGGCATCAAGTCAGAAGTATTTCATTGTCTTGGTACAACCTGTTAAGCCATATTTAGGACCAGGTGTCTCAGGGGATGTTGTAATTCACAGCATAACTCCTCCAGTCTCTGCCTGCAGCCGTAAGCACTCGCCACCTCTGAAAGATGACAAGCGAGGCACTGAAGAAAGGACACAAAGGTTTTACTGAGGTGTCCTTTCTAGCTTCATGCAGGACCTCCCCAGCAGAAACAACAGCAGGGCCCAGTTTCTGATAAACAATGCAGCTGCTTGAGCACCAAGAGTGACCCGACGTTCGATGCTAGTTCTCCCTGTCCACAGCTTATCTGGCAACTCCAGTTACAAAATGGGATGGATTGATCAAACCATCCCCTCTCTTTCCCACCACCCAGATTCACCTGCAGGGTAGATCCCTCCTGCACGCTGCAGTAACAGGGGTCACAGCCAGACCTGGAAGAGGCTCTTCCAAACTCCCCTCATCAGAAACATCAAGCTCCTGCATATCGGACTGCCACTGTTGGAGCTGCAAAAGTTCTGCCTGGTGCCAATGAGCCTGCAATTCTCTGTGAGCCATGTGCCCAGGAGTTATGGAAAGGAAATCCAAGGAAGAAATAAGAAGTTACAATTCAGACCCCAGTTTTGTGTCATCAGTCCTGAACACAGCTTTTGCTTGAACAGGTTAGCCTTGAGAAACCACGCAAGATTCACCACAGTCAAATGGGACATTATCACTAGCCTCTCCCTCTGTTCACAGCAAGGCAGAAAAACACACCACCAACATTTCAGTAAGTGCTAAACCTTGATTCAACTTCCGACTTAAATACTGCTCCCTTCAGAGGGTACCAGACATTAATGAAGTTTTCTGATTAAACAGCACACAGGCTTCTCGCTGGAAACAACTGCCATTTAACCGCATGTATCCTAGAAAGCAGCAAGCAAGTCATGATTTAACTGCACTGACAACTTGTTACCACTGAAAGCAAACCTACACTCCCAGTGACCAAAGCTTTCCTGGCAGAGCTCACTCTCCGGATTTATCATTAACATCTACATCCTAACACTGCTAAATAATTCAGCACAGCATTTAGCCTTATGTCCTTGCCTCTCTGCGCATAAACCGCTCTCACTATTTACTGTATGCTCCAGCAACAGGGAGAAAAAACCTGTCTGGACCATGCTCCCTCTTCGCACTGTGTAACTGAGGGACAGCCTCTGCTGTCAACACAGCGGTGTGGGGTTTACTTATTTTATTTTGTTGGGAAAAGTGTTTATTAGATACCTAAATATAGAGTATTACTTATGTGCGCAGAGTCATGACCGCGTGGACTCAGATTCACATGCAAATTCCCCTTTTAATAATCCTAATGCAGGAACTCTCCAATCAGAGCGCTATCAGCCCCAGCTCTCGGATACCTGATGCCAGCTTTGCTGGTAATGTAGGCCACTGAAGCAAATCCAGAGAGATTGAGTTGGAAGTGGAAAGAGGCTCTATTTGCTTGGCTTCCCGATGATGGGGGGGGCGTCGGGGTATAACTTCTTATTTTCTTTTCCACTATAAATGGGATATCATTTAAGAAGGATCATTAGCTGAGAGCAGCCCAGCTCGATCAAGGCTGGGAGGCGGGGACACAGTTGCAAGCAGTGAAGCAAGGTGGAAGCACGAAGACAGGAGACCAGGTTAATGAAAGCATGAGGTGGCTCTTGGGCAGCAGCTGGACAAAATTTGGACATGCTGACAGGGGAAACTATGACTGGCTAAACAGTGAACCAGGTGGGCCACTTCTGGAAACAGAGCTTCAGGTCAGTACCCCCTGCTTGTCTCTGTGGCAGGTCCTTTGACTTTGCATGTGTGTGTACGTCTGTGTAATGTCTCAGTGTATAGCATAGAGTAAATACATGGGTATTGATACGTAGCAAAGCAGAACTGCCTAATTACATAGAATCAGAGCATTTACTTATTGCTGCTAAGCTGCTTTAAACATATTTGTGGGGAAAGAACAGTAGATGGAAAAATCTTGCTGGGGCAGCAGGTAAAGAAGTTTAATTATCTCTTTTAAGCATAATGCATTCTCCTATTCCTTCATTTCCTTTCTTTTAAATGCATGTTTATGCTTTGGATCTGGTCCCATGAAGCCTTTCTGCCGATGCTAAGTCAGTAGCAGTCAGCAATGAACTCTTGTTCACTAAGCTGTGCACTGATTACTTCTGTGAGAGAGGATCACATGCAGGCAAACAGGGGGAGGGAAGTAGCCCTCAGAGATAAAAACACAGTCTGCCTTTCTGCCTTTGACTGGGATAGAGTGAAAGGGTTTCTCTGATCAGAAATCATAATTTAAGGTGCACACACATCACTAGTAAATACCTGAGTCAAGTAGCATTAGCTAATGAACTGGCCACACTACTTAGCTGGGATATCAAGTGTCCTGTTGTAAAATAAAACAGGGTAGGAGTACGTGTGTGGGGGTTATAACAGAAGAAAAAAAAATAGTTTTTAAATGCTGCTACAATTTTAAAGAAGTGTACTTCACCAGTAACACTGCCAGCGTTAGAATACCAATAGCAAGGTCTTCACACCTTCGGACTGGTTTTGTCTGACAGTGAGAAACAAACAGCAGAGTTGCATTCTAACAAGTATTTAAGAATCTGTATAAATCTAGGCTCACTTTAAAATTGTATGTCATTAGTAATATATCCAAACCCCCAGCAAAATGTTTTCCTATTTGCCAGATTTATTGGGTTTTGCTTTTGACAAGCAATAATGAAGCAGCTTTAAGAAGCAAGCACCTATTCACAGACCACAGCCTAATGTCTTCAAAGCAGACTTTGCTCCAAATCCACTAAAAACATTTCAGAAGTATTCGTTTCCTGATTCAGCTTCAAAAGACGTTAGTATAAATATGGGCTATATTAATAAAAATAAGTGTAATAAAGTTCTAAGTAGCCTATCAAATCATTAACATAATAAATCTTAGCACCAATCAAACAATCACTTCAATGGGAATGTCAGCAAAATAAACTTTAATTTTATTACCCTTACACAAAAGCTCTCTTTAAACTAATGTTTGGCCTTATTAGGTCATTCCCTTCCCATCCAGGTAGGAGGCTCCTTTTGTCTAGACAGAGTGTTCAATTTTAAACCCATTCCATTACTCATCATGGAAATACCACACAACTCGGCTGCACTCTGCATTCCATTCCTTTACCAACAGGCACAAGTAAAGAAGCTCATCTAAACTGATACGGTTCATGTAATCTGTAAGACTGCAATTGTACATGTTCAACATGTTATAAAAACATAGGCAGACAGACTACTAATGAAAGGCTTTACTACTCCTAGTCTGTGCTCAGTTTGGGAAAACTGACCCCCTGCTTCAGTCCCTACAAAGGTATAAATGAAAGAAAGTGAATAAATATGTGTTTGCAATGGCCAAACCATCCTACTAAAATCAGTTCTGGGGAGAAAAAAAGAGGACTTTTTAGAACCATAATCCCTTTTACCCTCATGCCTTTGTCTGCCTTTTTCTTTATAAAAGGTCCCTGTACTTCTGTGTCTCCAACTTATTCCATGCTGGGAGCTGTAGCCTTATTTTCATCAATTATAAACCTGACAATAAGGCCTGTGATGACACAGGCAGAGCACACCGACCAGTATAGCAGCAACATCAAAACTAAACCAGCCAAGAGAACACCACCAAATAATTCCCTTAGTCACTTCATATGCTCGCTTTGAAAACTTCTAGATGTTAAACAGCAGAGGATTTTACTTTCTTTAGCTGATTCTAAGTATTTACTATAACAGTATTGGTAACATAACAGCATCCATGAGCCTCAACATATGTAGTGCTCAAACACAATAGTGAATGCATTTTCCTGTAAAGTGCCTTATGCACCTCAAAAGACATGCTAAAAAAGTGCTAACAAACTTTAAAAAACAAAAATCCCCTAATTTTTAAAAGAAGGATTTAACATCTGCATTAGAATAATAGCTGAACAGTTTCTTCCAACTCTGCTGTTTCCTTCAGCTCATTTAATGTTCAGGTAAGACAACAGCTTGTACTGCCAGAAACTCTTTAATAAGAAATGATCAGTAAATCTGAAATAGTTCTTTAGTGTGCATTTTTGTGGTAAAAGACAGCTGGGGAAAACAGCTTAATAGCTAACCCATGAAAGTTTCAATGTACTTTAAACTTGCCTTAATGGGTTTGGCTTTAGACCCAAAATACCTCAGGAAAAAAAAAAGAAATAAAACAAAAAAGGCAGACATCTTCACTGCACTATTTGTTAGAAGTCAAAACCTATTTACTGTATTTTTCTTAGGCATGACCACATACTAAAAATTTCATGATATGACAACAAAGCAAGGAGGTAACAAATGGCTGATAGATAATCAGTTGAACACAGGTTAAAATGTGATTTTGTAGCTAAGGAATGACCATGATTCTTGGAAGAATAAGCAGTAAAAGTTTTCATAGATCAAGAAGGGGACATTGGAGTTCCCCACCCTTTTCACAGAGCCATTACTACCAACAGCCCATTTGCATCCCTGCTTCCAAATGCTTTGAGGAAAGAATCACTCGAGTTCTCCTTACTTGCAAAGCTGCCTTTGTTCAAAATAAAGGAAATCTGATCCATTCACCTGTTCAGTCTCACCATAAAAACGTGAAAAAGCCATCTGATTACAGTCTTTAAGTACTTAAAGGGAATGAGTTGATAATACACAGGATTTCAGGGTTTGGGTTTTTCCTACTCTCTTGACTAGTCTCTAAATGAGATCGTTATTATAAACTAGAGCTAGATAGAGTCAGACTGGAAATTATCTATATTGAATTTTTAAAGTGAAGCTAATACAACAATAGAGCACAAATGCTATTTTTATTCCTGTTAACACTACAGCACAATTCAAAAGCTGTGGGAGAGACATTTTGGGACTACATTTTGCAGGACACAAAGCTGTCACAGCACTCATACAACCAGAAGTTATTTTTCTACAGTTTTAAAACTATTCTGGCATAGCTGGCAGAACAAGCTCAAGAAAGAGCCCAAGTCCAGGCTGTTCTGACAAACTGTGTTTTACCTGGAGCTGGCCTCCAAAGTTAGAATAGCCCAAACAATAGGTATTGTATGGGCTTCTGATGAAAGGAGTAGCTGTTGTAATATTTGTTCTTTAAAGTAAACAGTACAGTTTTCTAAATGCAAACAAACACTAGGAGGTGGATCACTAGCCCTATTCCTTTGCAATTGGCTGTTCTCCCTAGCTTTAAAAGCTTGACCAACCTCCCACAAAAAGGACAGCTCCTGGTATAAGCCAGGAGTAATAAAACTTCATACCAAAACATATACAAATCCAGGTTGTTGGGCTTTTCCCCACTGGAGACAGGGTTTCCTAGAAACCCACCATTCTTCACAACTTCTTCATTTATTTTGTCATAGCTGTCATTTGTTTTAGTGGGCCAGTACATAGAATCCAGCAATCTATAAATCTGCAAAACATATTGCTTGTATATCCCTGAGGCTGTCAGAAAGTAATTTAGAAAAGCAACTGCTACATCATAGCAGGGGAGATGGAGAATATATCTTTTATTTTCTCTATGATTAAGAGGTCTCCAGGAATCCCACACACTACCTATTTGCTTTGATTACAGAGCAGTCAACAGACAAGCTCAACCAAAGATGACATAGAACCATTTCTGTGCATCATATTGCCTGCCACCATGATGCTCTTCCTGGCATTCCTGCTGCTCTTCCTGTACCACCGTTGCCAGCGCCAAACTCCACAGGGCCAGATCTTCAGCATCGACCTCCCCGAGGCCCTGCCTGAGCATGATGTGTCCAATTTCCTTTCCGTGCTGCCCTGGAACACTGAACAGAGCTTCCACTACTCCACTCTGCTCCCTGATGCCACATTCCTCACTGTGTGCTTGCCTCCATCCTACGAGGAGGCCACCATGAAGACTTCCATGGACGAGGCTCACACTGAGCTCTCTGCAGAACCAGTGCCTCCTTACGAAGAGAGCGCGTTGCAGTCCAACAGTGCCAAATAAACTTCCTACGGAAGCACATTAGCTAAAGCGTGCAGACCCTCAAGGCACAAACATGGAACTGCTATAAGGCCTTTAAAATGTTCAAGAAGATTCCAAGTAAGGCGCCAAACCAGTGAACTAACGAAAGAAGAAACTTGGAGTAACAGGGAACGAGCCTCTTCACCTCATTCTACTATGCTTTTCTACTTTCCATTTGTTGCAAGCATGTACACACAGCGTAGCACCAAATCAGTCCCAGACTGGTAACATGGGTATTCTAGCTCAAAAAGGGTGTCACGCAAGAATTAAACTTAAGGACAAGTGGAAATCTGTGCCTCTGCAATCCCTCAGCTACAAGGAACATGGATTATGCTATAGATTCACCCCAGAAAAGGGGTTTTAGCATATACCTGTTCCAGTTCGGCTTTTTCTTTTTCATGTGTTTATTTTCAATTGAATTTCTGGCAATTCTGACTATTTCCAATTCATCCTATCTGTATGTGTCAACATCACATCATTCCACAGTGCTCTGGAATGATCACAACAGATCTCAGGAAAGCAGATATATATGTAACCTCCACAAAATTTCCAGCAATTGTCCCCAAAGGTTCAAACGTGTGCTGTGGATAAAGGCTGTCTTATCACAGCTGAACAACAAGGAGAGCTAGAGAAGACCTGATCATTCTGGGTGAGGAAGACTCTAGAGCACACAAGAGTACACTCACGCTGATTGCTCTGAGCTACTTGCCTGGGTCTGCAAGGTCCTGATATTCCAGGCTACTGCCTTGACTTCTTTTCCAATTTCCAAGTCTACAACAATAAACCCCGTGACTATTTGGTGCAGCATGAGAAGGAGTTGGGGGAAAATAAAAGCAAATGCACACACACAAAAATCTGGTCTGTATTTCAAACCAGCATTATACCCCCTTCCCCTTCATCACTAGGGCAAAGTAAATCTCATTCAAGTGCATTGGTGGCAGTGGTTCAGTTTCAGGAGGGCTTGCACATGCATACTTTTAGACAATGGTGTATGTTATTTTTAATTCTTTCTTACAGGATAACATTTTTGCTGTGTTGATAAATGCTCTTGTTACAGAAGGTGGTTACTACAGAACCTGACAGCCTTAAAAGCTATGACAGCTTCTTCCTTGCAGGTGTTAGCTATTCCATGATACCACATTTGTCTGTGACCTGCCAATATAACAACTACTACATACTGCTGTGGGGCAGTCTTGGTGTAATCCCTAAACCCAGCGGCTGTGAGTGACACACTGTGATTCCAGCAACTGTCATGAGGTGTCAGTATGAGCCAGTCCTCTTTTGTGAAGGTACCACATCCCTTTAAAAACAAAACAAAATCCAATCAAAACCGAACCAAAAACCAAACAAAACCCCCAAGATAATGGGAGAAGAATTCATCACTGTACAGCAGAAGAAAACCAGACAACTTTCGAGCTGCAAGTAGTTCGATTTCATATTACTGCCAACAATGGCACAAATCACATCACCACAGTAACCAAGAGCAGTGTAGGTCAAACCTGATGATTCCACTCACAGAGTTCACTTAAATTAAGAGCAAAAAGATCTGCTTTATGTAATTCAGAAATGGATTATTTTCCTGAACTACACTTCTGAGACCATTACCTTTTCTAACATTCCCTTTTTGTCTCCAAACTGTAAGAGCAAGTGTTTTGGACAAATCCAAATTTACTCACCCTTCTTCTTTCCCAACCATGCCTGGGACGAGTTCCTGTTATTCAGGAGGGAATTTAAAAGTACTGTGATTTTACTGTCTCCTTGCCTTTTTTTTTTTTTACCATCTTAATATTCAGTACATGGAGTTTCTGCCACCTACAAGGAAAGCTACAAAAATACAAGAGACCCAAACAACATATGCTACCTAATCATCAAGGTACAAAGGTTTCAGGTTCAAAGGTAACTCACTTTTGCCTTTGGTGTCTGTATATTCCACTAATTTCAGCAGAATCGTACAGATATGCTTGAAAATTCTGCCTTTGTCATATCAATTTGAATGTATTTTGCCTTTAAAAGATCTGCTTTGTTCTGGAATGAGTTACACTGTTGTCAGCACAATTTCTTTTTTACCCTTAATGAGAGTAGCACCTGAAACCCAACCCTGGGCTCATCGTTCTAAACTGCTCTCCAGTTACCTTAGTTACAATTCAGATAACTTTTGACCAATATTTCTTGTGACCAAGGCCGATATACTTCTATAACTAGTCAAGAACTGCTATTGTCTCCGCAAGTATAGAGAATGACTCTTTCTCACATAGTGTTTCTCAGCTAACTCTCAAATCCTGCCATGTTTTTATTACAAAAGTAGCAAGTTAACATATTGGTACCACCATTTTAGTGTGAGGTGTCCCTGCCCATGGCAGGGGTGTTGGAACTAGATGGTCTTAAGGTCCTTTCCAACCCTAACTATTCTATGATTCTATGATCTAGACCTGTGTGCCAGGGGTTGTGGTAGACTGTAAATCAGGCACAAGTAGATTTTGTAGATTTTACTTTTTCTTCCTAAATTTATGACCCAATATGAACTAGAGCACAAGGAAAGAACTGCTGTTTGATATTGCATTTTATGCTTTGCAGGTCATCCTGTAACTTAGCTTATTTTTCTAATCTATTATTCTTTACCTAGCTTATGCAGCCCTTATTTTAAATATAACATCTAATAGGGATTTTGGAGATAAGAGACAAGGTATGCTGTTAAGTATGAAGTATGTCTGAATACCATATCCAAGAGCTCCACACACACAGCTCACTCTCTTTAGCCAACATCACCGAAGTAATGCAAATATTCTTCACTATGAGTTCCAACACTGGCACAGGCTGCCCAGAGAAGCTGTGGCTGCCCCATCCCTGGCAGTGTTCAAGGCCAGGTTGGACAGGGCTTTAAACAACTTGGTCGAATGGAAGGTGTCCCTGCCTGTGGCAGGGGGTTGGAACTGGATGATCTTGAAGGCCCTTCCCGAACCAAACCATTCTGTGATTCTCTGATTTTGGCAGCTACCTGGACCCTGTCCAAGCACCCCCGCCGCAGCCAGGTAACCACACCATTGTCAGAGGCATTTATGATTCTGGTTTGTCCAGTTTTATCTATCAACAGATTTTCTGTGTTACCTGGGACCGAGTATTTACACCAAATGCATTAGTTTCCAATAAATACAACTTTCCAGCTTTGTTACAAGACTGTTTCCAGAATGGCTTGTGTTTAGGGTGATCAGACTGATTTTTGAAAAGCTGAAAACACATTTTCACATTACAATGACAGCCTGCCTCCCAGGAAAGGAGAGCATGGAAAGGCATTCTCTCTGGCATCATGTTTAACACTACATACAGAGATTAAATTCCACTTTGTCGCAGACTCATCGTGTTTGGGGACATTGGACAACAGCACACCCGTGAGCTGCTCTGAAGGAGAGGCTGGATTTCGCTGCTGGCTAACCTTAGGGAATTACAGCAACTCCCTTTCCCCCATTATTTTGACCCTAGGGCCGTACGAGCCCTTTTCAAAGCTGTACGCCTTCACTGAGTAATTTTTACCAATTACTGTAATAGTACCCAACTACGTGTACCACTACAACTGGTATTTTCCCAGTTAACGCCGTTTTGCACCGCAAATTTTGGCAAAGTGCACCTGCTCTCTGCATCCTTACACCACCCCTTACCAGCCAGCCCTGCGCCGAGCAGCACCGCCCACCCCGAGTTTAAACACGCGGGAGGTTTATTTGAGAGCCGCAGTGCACCGGGGGAGGGCGAGAAGAGACGCGCCTGATGGGGCCAGCATGGCGAGGAGGGTGCCGAGCGGATCCGACGGGATCCCTGGCTCCGGGCGGGCGGAAGGAGGGACCCGGCTGCACCACCGCCCAGCCCCGCCCCGCCGGCTGGCTCCGCCCTTTCTCACCAAGCAGCCAATGGCAGCCAGCCCGGCTGGAGCCAGCCCATAAAAGGCGGGGGGAAGGCAGAAGGCAGGGAAGGTGTAATTAAGATGGCTAAGGGGTTTGTTATGTACACGTGTTTATCACCCCAGTTAAGCTTCTCAGGCCTCTTTGTCAGCTCCGGTTGTCTCACTCCAGGTTGGCGGCAGTTGCAGAGAAAGCCCCTTTCCTCTCGTGCGCGTCCTGAGCAGCAAAACAGCTGCCGGTGGTAAATAATGACTGGCACCTCAGACAGTATGCGGTCAGCTGCCTCTAACAGTACAAGGGCTTTTGTCCACCTTTAAACATGGCTGCTAATTAAGACAGGCAGGAGATGTTTTCCTATGTCCTTCGAGTTCCTGGAAACGAGAACAAACTGCCAGAGTCACCCAGGAACAACAGGGGTGTCCCGCAGGTCCAAGCAGCAGCTCCATCCAGAAACCTCATGGTTCAATAGCACCATATTGAACATAGTCTGGTAAATCAGTCCAGCTGTAAATACTTAATACCAGATACTTTGCTTAGTAGGCTCACGCTAAAATTTTGTCCGAGTTTTCCTCACTAAACTCTCCACACAGCCCTCCAAGCTCGGTACAGCATTAGCTCCCATGTCCCCAACCCACACCCCTTCCTTAGGGGTGTCCATGGCCATCAGGTACCCTAACAATGTGATGGCATGAGGAGGTACAGGGCCTTACAGGCAGCAAAAAGCAAATGGTGTGTATGTAGGAGAAGCAGGAATGCTTTTGCCAACATCAAAGGGAGAGCTCGGACACACGACAGTTTCCTAGATGTCACCAAGCCCCTGCTGGATCCGGAAAGCTTGCTGTGCAGCCACAAGGGTCAGTCAGCAGTGGTTTTCATTACCTGAATTCACTAAACACAAAAGTGCAGCAGTCCTGAAGCAGATTCACACATCTGGCTGTAGAGAGGGCAGGGATTTTGTCTTGCAGAGGGTCTGGTAATTAACAAAGAAAATGCCTACTGCTGTCCAGTTTTAATCCAGAGCCTCCATACGTCTCACAGGCAAGGCACCCTTAATCTATCTGTTGAATCAAGAGCACAGCATCTTAATGGGTTAGGAGTAGTCCTTTCAGCAGTCAGTTTAAGGACAAGAACGGAGAGGGCTTTAAAGCCACACCTTGATCACCAGAAAAAGCATTTAACACAGCTCCTCCAAAATCTGCTTTCCAGTTTCTTCCTCTTGAAGGTCTATGTATGCGTACTCTGGTTTCACTGCTTGCACTACTTGGGAAGCTGTAACTTCAGATTAAATGCAATTTATACTGAAGATCAAACATCAAGAGAACAATTCCTATACTACTTAAAGCAACTTGAACATTTGACCTACATTGAAATTTCTTGAATACAACCATACTGAGAGGATTTCCATGGCTGTTTCCCATATGTACAA